ATTGTAAAATAAAACAAATAATAAATATTAATAAACTATTTCGATCAAATAACAAATTACTCTTATTGCATATGCTCTGCACATTTTCAATTTTTTACGCATATATTGAAGTATTTTGCGGCATATATATGCGCATATTTAACTACTTTTGGGTGCATATATTCCTAGGTCTACTAATTATACTTTAATTTGACTTAAGCATTCCTTATATCAAAAGTTAATAGTTTTTACAGATTTTTAAATTTTAGTGGTAAAAACAATAATTCAGAAAATAATTGATTGGAAATAAATTTTATTTATCATTAGTAATTAATTGAATTTAACCTGAAGTTAAGATTTATTATCGACTAAGTAAGTTTCTGTCAATATGTAATGTCACTTATACATTTATTAGAAAAAGAAATAAACATTGTAACCACAAACTACAAATGAAACCTAGTAAATTTTTTGTTTATTAAATTTTTTGGTCATCAATGGTTTCTTTTGCATATAGGTCATTGAATTCAATACGATTTTCATACAAAACTGATTATATCCTGCAAAATACCCTGTATAAACCAATAATAATTTATATTTTTAGAAAGGAAAAATATAAAATACAGGGTGATCCATTAAAAAGAACATAGGTTGGTTCCTGAGAGAAGTTATTAAACACCCTGTATATTCAAAAATAATTTTAAAATATGTAGTTTAACGCTGTCTACCGTTCTGTGAAAATATTTTTTTAATCTCTAATATTGGCGGAGATATTGGACTTTTTCACACTAACGGATCACCCTGTATAATATATAATAACGTACTAAGGACGGTTTTTATTTGTGGATAAAAAACTATTTCCATAACTTTAGAAGCTGTGCAATAGGCTGATATATTTGAATAATTTGGATTTTATTTTGGGTAACGGAATTCCTTGTCCAACTTTTCATTGTGATGGAAAAATTGAGGTAATGATAAAACAGTTAATGATGTTGGTTAAATATTTTATTGGTAACGGATAACAGTAAATTATTACGTTTCAATGTCATCAGGACCAATAGTTTTAGATTTTTTAACAATATGATTTTGAATATACGTCATTCTCACTAAATTCACTGAAATGCAACTTACCAAGTCATTCTTTTCTGCTACTATTAAAATTGTACAAAATAACTTTGTGATGTCCAGACATTTAAACTCTCTTAATATAAATGTTTATCGTAGGTTCTCTTAATAAATCTTATAGAATAACGTTGTATTTTGGTAGTTATTTATAAAACCTTATTGTAGTATTTTAAGCCATAAATAATTCATCAATTATTAAAAAAATGTGTCTAGTTCTAGACCGGGAGGTAACGACAGAAATTTCCTGGTCATTTTCGCAAGTTTAATTCTTTCTATGAGTTATGCAAGTAATATGAAACTCTAAAGGTACAGTCTCTTTTGGGCGAGTAATCGAGACGTTTAGACGCGGCGCTTAATCGCTTATGTCTAGACGCACCTGATCGCACCTAGTGATCTGTTTACGTCGTCACCTCAAGTAATCGACTAGTCGCCAATCAATATTTTTTATTTCGTTCGATAAAAATGACTACTAGTGAACTTGTGATTGCAGCACAGTTGCTTATAGAAGAAGCAGAAGACGATGACATTTTGCTATTATCATTAAAAAGAAAAGTTCATCAAATGTTTGTTCAAAGAAGAAAGGAAGGGTGCTTTAGTACGCTAATAATGAGACATTTAAATAATGACGAAACTAAATTCAAAGAATACTTTAGGCTTACCAAAAATCAATTTTAATGAACTGTTAAATATTGTACTACTTGATATAAAAAAAATTCTACTAAATGCTTTTGTCCATGTTTTTTTGGTATTGCTTTCCAAACATTATCCCGTACATTTTGGTCCTTATACAATGTATGATGTAAATTATATAACGATGGATGCGTTCACTTCGTAAATTAATTTTTCGTCTTCCGATTTGGAGAATCTGAGTCTATTACCTTTGGAGCTCATTTTGCATCAATAGCAGGCGATTAAATAAATGACGACCAATTTTGCCGTAAGTCCCGTCGTCTTGTGGCGACTTGTATCGACTTGTCGCTTAAATCAGACCATCATTATGATATCAGTATTTAACCTATCGGCAAGATTAAACGCCGCGTCTAAACGTCTCGACTACTCGCCCAAAAGAGACCGTGCCTTAATATGAACGTCTTCCGACGCACCCTTACGACAGGGGGTTGCAGGAGGGTTGCAAATATAGTAAAAAAATTATAAAAAAAATGATTTTCGCATGCATGAAACTTGTTGTACACGTTAATTTAAACAAATAAAGTTTAGAAAATATCGTCTTCCACCTGAATTTCATGACAAAGTACGTCTTTTGAAGTTTGAACTTTCTTCATGTCGATCTTCGGTAGAAGGAATGGCTTTCCTCTACTTAGTTGAATGTTGTTGATATATCTTCTTTCATTGGTCCAAATTTCACAAGATTTTAATACATTGATTAATGCAGGTGATCTTATGTCTATATACTGGTTACTGTTACATTTTGAAAGAATTTGTCCAGATTTTGACGGGATTATTAAGACTTCATCGACTGCGATTTGTTCGGATAGTGATTCTTTTAAATTAACATTTAAAATATTACAATTTGTCAAAGTTTTTCCTTCAAGAAGTTGGAGAGTACGGTTATATCTAGGGATGAAATTCGGTTGACGATAATAGATTTCTTCAAGAGATGGACATTCTTCTCGTTCAAACTGTGTATCTTGATGTTTTCGTGCCAAATAGGAAAATAAAGGTGTATACATTATTTGGTTTTGGATAATTGAGAATAAATGATAAAATTCAAAGGTATTACTTTCAAAAATAGGAAAATGTATTGCAAAAATTAACTTAGATTCTGAAATTGATACTTGCGTTCCTAAGAACTGATAATACGTTAAAAAATTTATAAATTTTGGAATTTGATCAACATTATATATTTAATGTAAATATTTTATCATGTTTTATATGTCTGAGCTGGAAGCTATACTCGTAGAATGTAAAGTATTTAATTTTGCATTTTCTAAATTATCTATAAAAGAAATTGCCTGAAAACTAATATAACGTTCAAGTGTATCGATTCTGTTATAAATAGCTGCTTGAATTTATTCCATATCAACTTAATTTTTTTTTTATTTTTGCCCAAGAATGTGATTGATTTATTATAATGATAAACATGTCTGTTGTAAAACGAAATTTGAAGATTTGTTTCACTGATAATGTTTTTTTGATTTAATTGCAATGTTTTGATAGCATTATTATATCTTTCTTCCTCTTCAGAATCAAGATTTCCAAATAGCCATTAGTTAATTTTTCCAATTTCATTTATTAGAGCTCTTTTATTTCTTACATGAGGAACTAAATTATTAATCTTTTTCTGAAGAGTAATTATTAGATATTCTGTTCTTGTTAACATATTTTGCGATAAGCTATGATAAGATATAGCGTTAAGATATACTATACTATGTTTTATCGTTTTAAAATGATTAACTAAACTATTCACTGGTTTAACTACTTCTTCTAAATCTAAATAATGTAAAAATTTATGTTTGCTATATATAAATTTAACATTTCCTAACCGAATAGGAAGCAGATTTTAAATCAGAGTGATCTGTATATCAGAAGATGTACTATGTATTTGGTATACATAAATGACTTGTAGAACTTGTACTTGGAACAGCGTCGTTATCAAAATGGATTTCATTTTGGTTGGTATCCTGTAACAATTTTTCTAAATTATTTTTCGGATTTCTAACAATACTTTTATTATGACTACCCTTATCCGTTTTTATTAAAATGACACTATCTTTTTTAAATTTTTGTAATTTTTTATTTCTTGATTTTGTTTTGACAAAACATGAGTTTTGATTAGAATAGTTATCCGGTTCAGATCTCTCTTCATTTACTTTGTTTATTAAATGTTCTTTTAATAATTTGTGTATGATTTTGTACATAATTCGAAATTATTAAGTGATCGTCTAAATCAAAAGAATTTAGATTATTAATGTGTCCTTTAATTATTTCAACTTTGTCACTGAATGTATACTATTATTGTAACAAAATACAGAATTTTTAATTAGTCGATATGGTGTGAAATGTTTGTTTTCTTCTCGTAAACATCTATAATGTTCTAATAGACTTGGAATGAAACCGTTGCACTAAGGAATTTGAATTACTATTTTTTTGTGGTAGTGATATGTAATTGGATATGGTGTAGTTTACAAAAAACTTCTAAATCGAAATTTTTTAATTCTGTTCCACTATCGGTAGTAATTTTTTGTGGTAGTCCATGATGTGAAATAAATTCTAAGAGATTTTATTACGACTGATATCCCTGTTATTCTATCTAGGAGATTAGTCTCACCATATAGCGAAAAAGAATCAATTATAGTCAAATCAGATTTATTAGAAATGTAAAATATATCTAAATGTATGTGTTCAAAGGGTTTTGACGCATGTCGCGAACACCTTTATCAGCTTGGTTTCACCCTTGCCTTTATAATTTTTTTTTTATATTTTTTACGCCTATTTATGTGGATGGAAGAGTAGTTTGTTGTACAATTCAGGAGTAAGACGATATTTTTTAATATTTTTACGTTCATATCAACGTGTACATCAAGTTTCATCTATGCGAAAATGATTTTTTTTTTAATTTTTTTACTGGAATTGCAACTCTCCCGAAACCCCCTATCGTACAACTGGAATGGAAGACGATGATTTTACTGTTAGCCGCTATTCAAATAACTCATATTCAAAAAATAAAGCTTGCGAAAATGGTTTATTGGAATCTGTCATTATCTACCGAACTATTCCTTGAAAGTAGAAAATTTATTTCTATTCGTTATTTTTACCAAATTCAAATTTAAGGTTTCAGCTAGGTCACACTTTATTTATAAAAGGACCCTATTGTAATATATTTATCTATCAGAGGTGTTCTCATTTCCTATTCTTCAAGGATTTTGTGAAATTTTGCAGTTTTGATAAGATTATTTAGATTAAATATTGGAACACGCACTTTGGATGAATAAATTATTTTTTCACTTTGTGAGATTGTGCTTTGTGTTATAGTTATTAATATCGCTTTGGACATATATTCTTTATTAGTGTAAGTATGTATTTATTTTATACATACAGGGTGCATGAACTGCAAAGGAGGAAAACTTTTTTTTCAACTTATAGAGAAAATGTTATTTTTCATAAAAGTTTTGCTTGTTTCAATAGTAATAATAAATTATTTATCTCTTTGCTTTAGTGAAATAGTGGCATTTTTTATTATTTCATTCAACATGAAAATATTACAAAAAATCGGTAAAGTATTTTACCCAGAACTTCCCTCGATATAGAAATTATTACAAAAGGAGGTAACGCCAAAGTACTTAAAATTTAATAATTTAAAATTAAAACAACCAAAACAAAAACCCCTTTTAACATTTATCACTCCATCGATCTTCCTCTTGATCCCACCCAGAATCCTTCGGTATTCTACGTCAAATTTACCGTTATTGAACAATAATGATTGGTTTTAAAATGGTCCAGTTACAAAAACCAAGAGGACACTTTTTATTATTTCCATTCATGAGGGACCTTTTTTTATTAAAGACGATAAGACTTTTTCAAGATTACATACAATACTTCCCTCTTATCGAGGGAAGTAAAAAGGGAGTTTACATAAATAATTCCGTACCTAATTTTATCATTTAAAATTTTAACGGTATTTTTATATTATGACTCTATCTATAAATTGTTTTGAGTAATCTACAGCTTAATTGACAATTAATGCAACGCCATACGACGACTTCATTTAACTGAAAATTTGTGTGATGGAAAAACATATTATTTTATTTCACTAAGGGCCGAGTAAAGTTACTTGTAGGTTTACTTGACAGATTAGCAAACAATAGCCCTACAGTTTAATAAACAATTAGTTACGTTCAACTCAGAGTTGAAAAGACTGCCCCTTAAGTAAAGATATTATATTATAAGTTTTGAAACAAGCAAATACATTATGAATAACATTTTTTGAAAAGATGAAAATAAAAAAGTTTTTCTGTTTTTCAGTCCATCCAGAAACACCCTGTACAAACATACACAGTGCTACTCAGAAGTAATCTCCTTATATTTTCAACGGTTATACTTCGACACATGAAATGTAGAGGGTAAAAATAAACGGTTGTAATCATCTCTACTAGTGGTAGCAGCAGACGTAATAGTCTTAGATGACGTCACAGGGCCACTGTGACCAATAACATTAAATATAATATAAAATATAATCTTATTACAAGTGATACCCCGTTTATCAGCTATTTAGCGTACCTATTCAGTCATGCTAATTTTGTTTTATTTTGGAGTAATTTTAAGTTTACCAACTAAAGAAACACATAAATTACAAGTTGCAAATATTATCCATATCTCAAAGTGGTCCGAAGAAAAGAGAAAAACACACAGTTTGTCTACCACAGGATCTCTAGTTAGGGGGAGGTGGCCTATATTGGTCCAGTTTTCGGTTTTAGGGCTCTAACTTTAAGAAAACAAATGAAAACTTTTTCAAATTTAGGCACCAAATACTTTAATATGTTGTCCACTTCGAGTTGTTTTTTCAGAATTTTTTGTTGAATAGTTTCTATATAGGTATATAGGTCATGGAAAAATTTAATCTGGAACCCTTGCAGCTGGTCCGTTATCGGAAACTGGTTGCCTAAATTGAACCAAAGGATTCCTATATTGGACCATTTATTTTAGTTACGTAAAATTAAGTAGAACTTTAGGTATACAATAAATGAACAAAAGAAAATAATTTTTATTTAAAAACCAAATGTCAAAAAACTAAAATATATTAAATGAACATTAAAAAAGGGGCAAATCTTATCAAACAATCAAAAAGAACAAAATAAAAAATATAAATAAAGAACGAATAAACCTAAGATCTTTGAAATAAAAAGTTATTTTCAGAAACTAAGTAATAGTAAGAATAAAATAGGAACGCTATCCTTACTTAGAGCTAGGAACAAATATCACAGAGAAATTTATCTCTTGACTTTATGTTTGCACATGATTCGTGCACCCACTCTCCACTTTAGGCACTGAATTATGTTTTCAACAATGCTCTTAGAGGAAAGTTTGCAGTACCATTCTTTGATATTAATACTTTTTACTTTCCTATCTGTATACAGATATAAGGAAAGTATAGGAATCATGATTTTTTTCGACCTCGAGTTTTCGACGGATTTTTACGTTTTGAGGTCCCCTGACTCCGTTTTGACTATTTTCGCGATGATGTCTGTGTGTGTGTGTGTGTGTGTGTGTGTGTGTGTGTGTGTGTGTGTGTGTGTGTGTGTGTGTGTGTGTGTGTGTGTGTGTGTGTGTGTGTGTGTGTGTGTGTGTGTGTGTGTGTGTGTGTGTGTGTGTGTGTGTGTGTGTGTGTGTGTGTGTGTGTGTGTGTGTGTGTGTGTGTGTGTGTGTGTGTGTGTGTGTGTGTGTGTGTGTGTGTGTGTGTGTGTGTGTGTGTGTGTGTGTGTGTGTGTGTGTGTGTGTGTGTGTGTGTGTGTGTGTGTGTGTGTGTGTGTGTGTGTGTGTGTGTGTGTGTGTGTGTGTGTGTGTGTGTGTGTGTGTGTGTGTGTGTGTGTGTGTGTGTGTGTGTGTGTGTGTGTGTGTGTGTGTGTGTGTGTGTGTGTGTGTGTGTGTGTGTGTGTGTGTGTGTGTGTGTGTGTGTGTGTGTGTGTGTGTGTGTGTGTGTGTGTGTGTGTGTGTGTGTGTGTGTGTGTGTGTGTGTGTGTGTGTGTGTGTGTGTGTGTGTGTGTGTGTGTGTGTGTGTGTGTGTGTGTGTGTGTGTGTGTGTGTGTGTGTGTGTGTGTGTGTGTGTGTGTGTGTGTGTGTGTGTGTGTGTGTGTGTGTGTGTGTGTGTGTGTGTGTGTGTGTGTGTGTGTGTGTGTGTGTGTGTGTGTGTGTGTGTGTGTGTGTGTGTGTGTGTGTGTGTGTGTGTGTGTGTGTGTGTGTGTGTGTGTGTGTGTGTGTGTGTGTGTGTGTGTGTGTGTGTGTGTGTGTGTGTGTGTGTGTGTGTGTGTGTGTGTGTGTGTGTGTGTGTGTGTGTGTGTGTGTGTGTGTGTGTGTGTGTGTGTGTGTGTGTGTGTGTGTGTGTGTGTGTGTGTGTGTGTGTGTGTGTGTGTGTGTGTGTGTGTGTGTGTGTGTGTGTGTGTGTGTGTGTGTGTGTGTGTGTGTGTGTGTGTGTGTGTGTGTGTGTGTGTGTGTGTGTGTGTGTGTGTGTGTGTGTGTGTGTGTGTGTGTGTGTGTGTGTGTGTGTGTGTGTGTGTGTGTGTGTGTGTGTGTGTGTGTGTGTGTGTGTGTGTGTGTGTGTGTGTGTGTGTGTGTGTGTGTGTGTGTGTGTGTGTGGGTGCGTTCGCGCGCGCGCGCGTGTGTGTGTGTGTGGGTCGCATAACTCATGAACCGATACACAGAAAAACACCAAATTTTATACTTAAGCTTTATTCCAGCGTCTAATGAACTGATTAGATTTTGGACAGAGTCGGAACATCTGGGGGGGTACTTTATAAGTGGTCATTTTTATATTTTATGAAATATATCAATTATTTACGTTTGGAGAAGAAAATGCTTCAAATAAAAGTTACTTCTAATATAATTATCTATAATTTTTGTTTTATACAAAATTTTCCTAAAATGGTCCGTATTCGAGAAATGTGACAAAATGTAAAAAAATATTTTTTTATAAAGATTGTTCAAATAAAAGTTGTTTGTAATATAATTCTCTATAATTTTTATTCTATACACAATTTCTCTAAATTCGAGATATTTTAGAAAATGTGTAAATTTCGAATTTTGAAGAAAACTCAAAAACGGATCAAGAAAATAACATTAAATTTTAAACTTAAGGTTTATTTCGGCTTGACGTCAAATGATTAGATTTTGGACAAAGTCGGAACATCTAGGGGGGGTACTTTATGGGAGGCCGTTTTTATATTTTATGGAATATATCCGTTATTTATGTTTGGAGAAGAAAATTGTTTAAATAAAAGTTACTTCTAATATTATTATCTATAATTTTTGTACTATACAAAATTTTCCTTAAATGGTCCGTATTCGAGAAATTTGACAAAATGTAAAAATAATATTTTTTTATAAAAATTGTTTAAATAAAAGTTGTTTGTAATATAATTCTCTAAATTTTTATTTTATACATAATTTCTCTAAAATTGACCGTATTCGAGATATTTGAGAAAATGTGTAAATTTAGAATTTTGAAGAAAACTCAAAAACGGATAAAGAAAAAAACATTAAATTTTAAACTTAAGGTTTATTTCGGCCTGAAGTGAAATGATTAGATTTTGGACAAAGTCGGAACATCTAGGGGGGTACTTTATGGGAGGCCGTTTTTATATTTTATGGAATATATATGTTATTTATGTTTGGAGAAGAAAATTGTTCAAATAAAAGTTGCTTAGAATATTATTATCTATAATTTTTGTTTTTAGTTAAAATTTCCTGAAATGGTCCGTATCCGAGAAATTTGACAAAATGTGCAAAATTCTGATTTTTATGAAAATTGTTGAACTAAAAGTTGTTTGCGATATCGATCTCTATAATTTTTGTTTATACATGATTTTTCTAAAATGGACCGTAATGGAAAAGTGCTAAATTTAAATTTTTCAGTATTTTCGTTTTCAATGAATATCTATAGAAAAATGTTTCGAGGTAGATGTATGTGGACACTGTATATATTTAGTTTATCCTCTAAACATTTATAGAGATGCTGCAATAGGTTGTACAAAATAACCGGAAAAAGCCTATAAAAACTAGATAGGAAAGTCATGTGTTGGACACATCAGATTTTTTTCTTAGAAGTGCCAAAATCAAATTTCACTTTGTTGACAGTTTTCTTTTTTGAAATATCAGATGATGTCTGCTTGACTTCAAGGTCATTTTTGTAGGGTGTGGATGTAATGATTTGTGCTTTTTGGATACTTGCAGTTGGTTTTATCTTCTTATGATAAACAACTGGACTTTCTAATATTGGCAGATTTTCCTTTTTTTTTATTGTGGATGGATCAACTTCAGCTGATGCAGTTGCTATTTGTTTCATAGCTGATCTTGATATCGATGTTAAAGCTCTTTGATCTAGAAGATTCATTTCTTTTGTTGCAACTGGTCCTTTAGTGTAGCGACTCAATGGCACATCTTCATCACTGGAATCGGAACTACTTCCAGTGTTATTATATTCAACCATGTCTATACTTGGTTTTGGAATAAGTACTTCTAAAGTTGCAAAATCAACATCGCCAAAAACATTACGGTCTACCGGCTAAATTCCCATTTTCTTGAAACCATTTATAGCATTTGCTACCACAACTACTCTCGCATAAGCTTCTCCAAGGAGTTGAGCAACTTGTTATAGAGAAACTGTCACTCCGGGATTAGTCATTAGCCATTTCTCGCTTGTTTTAGTGTAATAGAGCTCCAATGGCTTAAATACAGCCACGTCTGAGGTTGAAGCCGGTGGGTGGTATGTCCCGGAAGCTGTAATATAATTACTCCATTAATCCGTGCCAGCTCCATTGCCTCAAGATTTTTCGAGTGAGTATTGTGACCGTCTAAAACAAGTAAAACTTTATTGGTCTTTGTTTGTTTTTACTGATCTAAGATTTAAGCCAGGCAACAAATAGTTCTTTGTTGATGTATCCGGTGTCAGATATCTCTACCAGGCAGTCAGGAGGTACTCCAATTCTGAGATCTAGATTAACTCTTTTTCGCTTGAATATTATCATTGGTGCAACAAATTAACCGGCGTATACGACCATCGTGGTATTGACCCCACGTTCGCCGCTAGCAACCGAACCTACTTGGAGCTTGCCTTTCAGGGCTAGAATTTTCTGGCGCTTCTTGGCATCAGTTGAAAAACCAGACTCATCTAGATGGAAAATTTTTGTTGCATTAAGCTGGAATTCATCGACAATTTTCTCTAGAAGTTCGAAGAACTGGGTAACATTTTCTCTTTTAAATCCCTTGCACCGAGCTATGGAGGTAGATTCCGGTTGCCTCAATGAATGGTTGGAATGCCGGCGCATAAATGTATAAAATTACTTTTTACGAGCCTGCCTTTTTTTCGCTATTGAAATTGTATTTATTGTTGTTTTTCTCCGCCAGTTCATACGCTGCATTACGGATATCTTTTATAATGACCCCATAAAACATCTTCTCTAGGTTAGGGATATGCTCCGCCAACCTCTCCTCAAACTCCGATGAAAAGACGGTGCTTCGTCCGAAGATTTTAGACTCTTGGTTAGCTACTTTATTTTTTGGGTCCAATGTCGTTTGAACGTCGCTTTTGGGACACTGTACATGCGGTATTTTTCATTAGGGCCATATTTTTTGCCCTTGTAAGCCTCTAAGGCTTTCGCCATATCAGCTTCACTCCATTTGCCATATTTTATGTCTTTCCTATTATTGGAAGACATTCTGGAGCAAAATAAAACATTGATAGCATATATTGAATCACGCCCTTGACACTAGATAACCGTCTAATGTAAAATGGTAAGTTTTTTTATAGCTTCTAGTACTAAACTAGGTAATAAAGTGAATATCCGTAGTACTGAGGAAAAAAACAAGAATTTGACAAAATAGTGAATGTGCCGCGAAAAATATATATGATACAGTCATTTGCTAACCTCATTTTTGGCGATGATATTGAACAAATTGATGCAGTAAGTTAAAATATATTAAAAAATTACCTTACTTAACTCAAAAATAATTATTATACTGTGTAAAAAAAATTTAAACATATAGATTATTGTAGCACAATTTCTAACACACAAATACATAAACATAACAAGTAATTCTAGTTTCCTAAATTGGACCAGTCCAATTTAGGCAACACTGTGGTAGTTCAATTTAGGAAACCGCCAGTTATTTTTTAAAATCACATGTTTTTAGTCCAATGTATTGGGGTTCGATCTTTAAAATAGCGATATGAATAGAGTAAAACTTAATAAAAGTAGCAGCACTAGGTGAATTTCCAACGTTTGCTACACAAACACGAATTATTTACAAAAAGTACATCAAAATAGCAAAAACCGCCAAACACGTTGTAGGAAGGCGAAACGTGCATTACCGGTGGCGAATTCTCTTGTAATAACGATTTTGAAACAAGAGTCAAAGAGGATTTCAAAGATGTCGCTACCCTCGCGCTTGTTCATTCAAATATAGCAATTGTCCAATTTAGGAGGCGGTTCAATATAGGTAACCTTCCCCTATATTTTTTCAAAAAATATTTAATGGTAGCAATAAAAAAATTAAAATCTCTAGAACAAATCCATAAGCATGTCCACAATTTATATAAAAGGTATCTATATGTGGGTTAAGCCACGGAATTTAGGCCTCACTAGGCCCATTGTGCATCCTCCTAAGTAGATAGGCACCTTCTAGCTCCTGAGCCAGCCTACAAAATTAAAATTTAAGTTTACGGCTAGATCCCACATTACTTATAAAAGGACCCTATTGTGATATATTTATGACAACGTCGCATATCGGCCGGTGTTAGCCAATTCTCACCGAACACAAATCTTCTAATAAATGAGAGCGTCGGGCAATCGCAAAGAATATGCTCGATGGTCTCATCTTCTTGTTTGCACCCTCTGCAGAGTGCGGATTCTGACAGCCCCATGATATGGAGATGCTTTCGTACTTGGCAATGACCAGTCAGATTGTCTGTGATCAATCGCAGATTCTGTCTATTCATAGTCGAGTATTTGTTTGCTGTAGTGTTGTTTAATTAGGTTTGTCACTACCGATATTGTCAGTCCAATAGAAAGGCTAGGTCCAAAAAGCATTTAGTTGGCTGCCTTCTTGGATACTGAATCAGCAAGAGGTTACCTTTCAATGTGGTCCATCTTAAGTTAAAAACATTGTTGAATACTTTGATCAAAGCTTCGTGACATTCGAGTACTAACCCTGAGTAATTTTGTGGTCTGTCTAGGGTAAGTAATGCTTGTCTGCTAGCTGTATAGGTGACAACATTATTTCTGGTGATTTCTTCTGCTGCTTTGAGAATACTCGTGATTTCGATTTGAACTACACTGGCACTACTGCTCACAGCCTATTTTATATTTAGGTTTAAGGATTTGGAGTATATTCCACATCCTGAGTCTTGTTTTGTTTTAGACCCGTCGGTGTAGATATAAATCGTACCTGTCACTTCCGGCTTGTTCTGTTATAACTTTATATGACAACCTATATGATGCTTTTTTGCAAACTCAAATGTTTAATATATGGCACCATTTTGTTCTTTGTTCAATATCGGTAGTATGGATAGTACTTACCTAGGTAGTAATTGGTCATTACTATACCCTTTTTTTACTATACCCTTCACTCTTCAAAAACTCTGTCCCTTCTTCCTTTCTGATTTACCCTTCCTTCTTGAACAAGGGGCCATGTACGGGTCATGGTCTAGTCACGGCAAGCTACCTTCAAATTATCTGGCCTAGTATGGACCTAGAGTCATTATCCTTAATTCTACTCTTTTAATTCGTTTGCACAATAATAGTTTCCTGAACCAACCCTACTTATGTTTCTTTGGAGCTTTGTATGGTTCATATCCTTAGATACCTAATATATCCCTCCTCCGACGGTTTGGTACATTTATCAATTCACCTTAAAATGTACTTGTTTTACTTACATGATTCAAATGTTGTATTCGATTAATTTTACCGTGTGGTGGATATCCTAATCGTAAGTTTTAACATCATTCAATAATAATTTAATAATTGTGAACCTGTAACGCCTTTTAGGATGGTTTTGTTGGTAATTTAAATGTCTATCAGTTTAAGTCATTAAAATAGGGTGTGCCATTTAAAATAAGCATATTATTCAACTCCATATGTAAGGTGAATTCAATTAGACTAAATGAACACCTTGTATGATGTAATGGAAAAATTTGCATTTTATTCGATAGTCTAATATCTTGGCTACGTATATCGCAGGGGACTGTTGATGTGTTTTAAACAACCGCGACATACTAGATTATGTTGTTCAAGCTTACAAATTAAGAATCCTTTAAATGTTTCAAAAACGAAAAAAGATAGGTATAGAAAACATTAGAGAAACTTTACCTTATTTTTTTCGAGGAATCAAAAGACCATCAAATATAGGGTGTTCCCTTTAAAAAAACATAACTTTGATATAAATTCCTATTTTCGGGTCACCCTATATAATCCAAATTATTTTTAATTTATAGTGTTAATGGCCCTGTATATCCCTATTTAGAAAAAAAAATCAAATTTTAAGTCATTTTCCCTACAGAGACCGACGCGTATAGGATGCGCTACCCTGTATTATTTATTTAATGAGTGTAACAAGAAAAATTCTTTATTCTATATTTTTAAACTTTGTTTTAATAATTTGTTTAACTTTAGATTTGGAAAGAAACAATTATGGTGACAAACATAATCTACTATTGTCTTTTGATTCTGGCTGCAGATGCTCAATTTCAGAAATATTATTATAAATGGAATGGAGAAAGTTTTGATATTATTTATTCTGATACAGAATACTGGCAGTTTAAAGAGATAATGGCCCCAAAAACCTACAAAAAGGAGCACACTGATAGAGGAGGTATGTAAAATAGACATTTGTGTATTACGAGCCAAAAACAAGGGCGCACCAACCAAAAAAAATTACTGTTATGTTGCTTTGATATTGTCTTTGTTATTATTTTAATAAAATATAAAATATACTGATTCATACAGAATAAACGAAAGTTTCTACATTGGTACATATTTGTCTTTGTTTATGGTACAATTTTAAAAGTGGTAAAGGTTCCATAATATGCTAAAGAAGGCATGTTTATTTTATTGATATTTATTTTTACTTTCCCCTAATTATACTACTCCCAAAATTTTATTAAAATTGTATAATGGTATAAATGATGGAAAACGAAAATTAATATCAAAAAAATATACGTGCCTTCTTAAGCATATGGAACCTGTACCACTTCTAAAATTTGATTAAAATTGTACCATAAACAAAGTACCAAAGTAGAAAATTTCGTTTATTTTGTATAAATAAGTATATTTTACAATTATATTTTTTTATATTTGATTAGACTAACAACAAAGACAATATCCAATATCACACTAAGGGGTCTATTCTGTAACAATTCCTTTATATGTAACGGCCTTTAAAAATATTGGCGGCCTTTAAAAGTATATTTGTATTCGTTAATTTACTTTATTTAAACAGATTTCTTTAAGATAGTCCTCTAATGTATTTTAAAGATCCGTTTAAATAGTGACCGAATTAAAGAAGAAAATATTTTCAAAGGCCGTTAAATATAAAGGAATTTTTACAGAATAGACCCCTAACTGAGCTTAAAACATTGTGTTAAAAGTTATTAAGTCAATAAACTAAGTTTTGTTTTGATGTGTGCGCCCTAGTTATTGGCTCTTAAGAGTAGAAATCTGTACCTTTTCGCTTAAGGTAGTTCACTCGCGACAGTCGTACATAAAAATATCGTTAAATGGTGAATACCAATAGTTCGAGATTCTCAATGATAATCAATTTTATTTTTGTAAGAGACTGTACAAAACACATGTAAGCTTATATACATGGATATGTTATGATTTTAATAAAATCCATCTGGCAACCTTATAAATATAGGAATGGTTTGCTATAGAAATTTGTGACTTCCTCATATTAATTTTAAGGGTTTGTTTTGATTCAAACAGAACCGCTGATTCCAGTTCTCTAAGACAGTGGACGAATTAATTTTTCAAGAAAACGTCGCGAGGTTTTAACAACCTCTTAGCTGATCGAGTGTTATTTTGATAAAACGCGTTGATTGCAGCGTATACAATGTTGCCAAGTTGTAATAATTTTACGCAAGTACGCGTCGATTGCTTTAAAAATATGTTTATTTTAAAAATCTATATCTTTTTACTAAGACGGTCTAAAAATTTAGCGTTTCTTTAGAAAATTTTATAACTTCTTGATTTACATTACATTAGTTTTTAAAAAATATGGTAAGAACCGTTTTCGAGATATCTTGATATAAATGCATTACTTGTGTACATGAGAGGCTTCAAGAGTGTTAATTATGCACATTTTGATTGTTAATATCTCGTTTCACAGACGGTCAAAAAATTTAATTTTTTTTAGTTATATAAAAGACACTTTCATTGACCATATATTTCAATTTTATTGAATTCTTAAGAAAAGCCGTTTTACGAGTGAACTACCTTAAGATAAAAAGTTGCTTCTTGATGCGTCAGCGGAGTGTGGTAATTTATCGTAATAATATCAACTTCAAATTTTACTTCAATGTTTATTTGACAGGCACCGTCAGTGAAGCTTGAGTATGTGAATGTTACATAATAATCTTTTTTTGAAAGTAGGATACAACCTAATATACAAAAAAATTAATTTATTCAATAATTAAGTTCATAGAAAAAAAAATTATTCAAGAATTAAATTTACATAAGTAAAATAGACGCTTTGAAAAGAAAGAAAATACAAAAAACAATACAAACTAGAGGATACATTTAAGATTAACCAGTTTAAAAATTAAGCTTAATAACAATATAACGTATATTTTTTTAAATAAATAATCCATCAAATGAGTTTTAAATTTATTTAGAGTCTTAGAACCCTTTATATAACTTGGCAAATTGTAGCAATCAATAAAGCTCTGAAAAGTTAATGTGTTTTTGTTTAATGCTTTAATTTTGGTGTTAACCAGTGGCGGTTTGCCCGTAAGGGCACTTGGGCACGTGCCCTAGTATAATAAACAAAAAAAAATAACTTACATATTTCATATTTTCCTCAATGCCTATTATTATTTTATCTAATGTTCAGCGCAAACCGCGTTGGCACGACACTGGACGACCGGGTGTTGAGCGACATTCCGAGAATTCCGAAATTAAGATGGACACAGGGCACAGTAAATGTGTGCCTCTGTTGTTTTATCTCTCATTATGATCGAAAAACAAGGACAACGACAATATCGCTTAGCAAGAGATGAACACATGCGATGGATTTTACGTCACAAGCAGGGCGCTGTCCTAGACCAGATATGAATGTACGCAGAGGCATCTTTACCGACTGGCTCTCTCACAAAGGTGATGTCAGTTTCGGCTGAAGGTGCGCGTTTGTTGGACCACGATAATAATTTATTTATTTATCGGAATAGTTAAGAAATAAAACTACAAAGAAAAATAACGTTTTTTTTATAAAGCAGTCAAAAAACATGATGAAAAAAAATCAATAATATTTATAAATGGGACAAAATTTTTATTTTTCTTTTGGTTTTGTCTGAATTTTTCGAGGATTTCAAATCTCTGTTTGCATATTTAGGAGTATAAATAATTTAATGGTGTACATTTCTCAAAAAGGTATGCGTTGGAAATTCCAGGCTTAGTTGACAAACTATCAAATAGAGATATAAATATTTTTTTTAATTTGAATACATAAAAGAGAAATTTTTCGCTGGGAGATTTTAAATTGCCAAACACCTTTTCTTCAGAGTCGTATGCTTTAAAATGCGTTAAGAAGTTAGAATTGTTAAGTAAATTGCATTCTGAGAAATTTACGCAAATTTCACAAGAGTGGATATGTAATGATTTTTTGATTAAATAGCCTCATACATAGTTAAATGCATTTTGAGTGGTCACATTTAGCTCCCTGTAGTCACATTCAGAAATCGTTATTGCCCCAACTGATTGTTTTGAAATATATTATCGTGGTATTTAGTATTTATGATAGATTATGATCTGATATTCTTTATGTAACATTATAAATACCATACCATGATTCTAACGATTAAAATATTTTTATGTATTTTATTTTTCTTTATTTACCGGGTTCTGTAACCTTAGACAGAACCTTGCCTGGGCGCCACCTCTCGGAGATCGTGAGGATTCCTATCTCAGTTGGGTTCAAATACGTTTGACCTAATTTAAGTTTACCTGTATTTTATAAGTATATAAATAAATCATAGAAAATATCTTTATTTAATTAAACATGTCTGTTAAATTAGAGAATGAGAATAAATCAACCACATAGGAATTAAAAATAACTGTAAACATAAAGTAAGTAGAATTAAGCATTTAAATTTCCCCCGTTTTGTCAAAGTGTCGTATAATACAAATAATATGAACAGCTGTGCTCTGTGCATAACTCATGAGATTAAATGTTATGAATAAGCTTAATATTGTTGGATATTTTATGGATCAGGAGAATATTTACTGGTAAGTGCTTATTATCAATTATTTAATATTAAACTTATGATTTCAATTAACGTATATGTGAATAATAAAAAAAAACATGTGACATAACCTACGAATAATATTTACAACTTAATATTTACAAAATCTTATCATTTAAAATAAGTCTGTTATAACGTGGAAAATATGATCATATTTATTTATAGTGTTTGGTACCTGTTATCACTGGGGCACAAAATCACTGGAGAATCACGGTCAGTCTTGGTTGGAATATGGAGTGTGGAAAACATAAAGGAAGTCTGGAGTTGAGATTTTAGATTCTGGAGTTCATGGGTTGGATGTAAACAGGGCTCAGGATGATCTCCAAAATTCTATCTGCCTTTACACCTACCAATTTTACTTCAGGACTTCTGGTAAATACCCTTTATTAAGTTGACTTTTGGTTCTAGGTATCTTCATTTGTTTTTACATTGTTGAACTACATGTTTCTTTGGCAAGCGATTACACTCAAAAGCCCCGTTCTACCGGCGAAATTGGTTTTATATAATCGCAATCTCATGGCCAACTAGATGCAATTTTCGATAAATTTTGAATTTATTAGCCAATTCATTAAATTATTTTATATTTTCTTGGACTGATTCGAGTTCATAGAATTATGTAGTTTCTTTTTGTGATCATTTTAATATAAATTTTATGTTGATCCGTCTTATATTAACTTTACAATTAATCAAATTCTCACCCCAATTTGATGAATTATAAAATGCTTTTATTGTCGTTTTATTTACTTTTTATGTAATAATTTCATTATGTATTAATTAATCTTATTTGGAAATATCTATTTAATCTAATTTTACGCTTTAAAAGCCTTTTATATCCTTACATTTTACATGGGGTTTTTTAGATTATGTGATGTTTAATTTGCTTATAGTTTAATAATTAAATTGTTTGATGTAGTATTTTATTGTACCAGTTTTATCTAAGGGTTCCCTACTTTGTTTTTATCATTCTCATTAGTGTCAGAAATTAGGTCAAATATGTTATTTTTTGCTGTAAAGTTGCCTTATGGCGTTTCAATGTTAATTTTTAATATAAATGTTTTTCTTGAAATTTATAGGTTTATTTATTAATAAATTGTTATAAATGTTCTCCATCCTCCTTTATGGTAGGTTACACAGGCTATTTGGTTCGGTTACACAGGCCATTTAGTCCTGAACAATCGAATTTAGTTTTCCTCGGATTATGTACCATCATAATATATAATTTTCATTAAGCGGAGAACTTGTTTTCCTAAGGGAAATACGAATCCCGGGATTCCTTTCCAGTGGGTGCCCCACTGCCGCTAGTGCCCACGAGCCGCCACTGGTGTTAACATATAAGTTATCCTTTAGCCTGGTA